GTTTATCGCCCGCTGCTTGCGTGGGATCTTGGCCTGTGACGGGGACGCGTTATTCCGTGGATCACCGAATGATCAATATTTGGATAGAGTTTCGTCTATCCGCGAAGGGATCGAGAAACCGTAGCTCTTATCTCGGCGAAGCGAGATAATCACTCTTCTTAAGATTATCGCAATGGGATAATCCTAAGGAACGAACCGGGCTGCAGATCTAACTCCTCCTCCTCTCTGAAATCTGTGCACTTTAAGTCTTCAATCCGGCAGGGCTTCGCCGAGGCACGAGAATTCCAGCTCTGAAATCTGAGGCTCCAGGGGCTGTATTTATAGGCTTCCAGGAGATCCGGGCGGTTAAAACTGATCGAGAACCGTCAAAAACACGTCCCAAGTGCGAGACAGTTCGGGGTGTCTCGCACATGTGCGAGACAGTTTGTACCCTCTTTAGTATTTTGGCTCTAATTCTTTCATCCGACCTCGGAATGAGGTGATTCAAGTTGTGTTGGAAAGATAACGAAAAGATCTACAACTTTTATCTTTTAAGATTCTTCATATTCAAATCGGATTATAGTGAAAATAGCTCTACAATGTCCGAGATACCTTTGGGTGTCTCGGCCAGGTCCGAGACACTTGTGAGTGTCTCGGCAATTTTGGTCATAACTTCCTCATATGACTCCAAATGACCTGATTCCAGATGGGTTGGAAAGATGACAAAAATATTTACAACTTTCATGTTTTGAGTTTCTTCAGATTCAAAACGAATCATGGTCAAAACAGCTCCACAAGGTTCGAGACACCTTTGGGTGTCTCGGCCAGGTCCGAGACACTTGTGAGTATCTCGGCTATTTTGGTCATAACTTACTCATATGACCTCCAAATGACCTGATTATAGATGGGTTGGAAAGCTGACAAAAAGATTTACAATTTTTATGTTTTGAGTTTCTTCAGATTCAAAACTAATCATGGTCAAAACAGCTCCACAAAGTCCAAGACACCTTTGGGTGTCTCAGCCAGGTCCGAGACACTTGTGAGTGTCTCGGCTATTTTGGTCATAACTTTCTTATAAGACCTCCAAATAACCTGATTCCAGATGGGTTGGAAAGCTGACAAAAAGATCTACAACTTTCATGTTTTGGATATCTTCATATTCAAAACGAATTATGGTCAAAACAACTCCACAAAGTCTGAGATACCTTTGGGTGTCTCGGCTCAGGACGAGACACCCTTGGGTGTCTCGGCGTGAACCGAGACACCCTTGGGTGTCTCGGCGTGAACCGAGACACCTCAGGGTGTCTCAACTCAGGCTGAGACGCTCTATCATGCACGTTTGTCCGTTTCCGCCGTAACTTCTTCATCCGAACTCAGATTTCTCGGATTTGAGCGATTCAAAGTGCGTTGGAAAGCCGACGAGGAGTTCTATAAGCTCCAATGATTAGATAATCTGTGGAATAAATGAGACACGAAGGGTATTTCGCCATTTTTGAACGACACGAGGTTCCCGATCAGTTTGTGTCTTCGTCATTCTGAAATTCCGTTATTTTACGTAGTTCGTCGATTCACTTCAAACGTTCACCGACACCAATCAATCTTCTGTGAACCAAATAGTAACGTTCGTCATCTTTTCCTAACGCTGAGCGAGACCTATAGGCAATTTCACTGCTACAGTTATGGCCTGACCCCAGCCCGACTCGTAGTGTGTCGGGCCTAGCCCGGCTCGTGATATATGCAGGTCTTGGGTTAGGCTGATTCCAGCCCCAAATCAGGGACTAGAGAAATAGGCTCGATCCACCTTGACCCGGTCCACCGTCGACTGGGCCTGGCCCAGCCCGACCTAACCCGGAAATTTAATTATTAGTTTTTAGTTTTTATTTAATATTTTTTCTTATTTTCTCTAGTATTTATAATTTAAATTTAAACTAAAGGAAAGTAATTAGCTTCCTGTGGACGTAGGTCTTTCTTTAAAGTCCGAACTATGTATATCTTTGTGTTTGTGATATTTTTCTGTGTGATGTTTATCTTTGTACAATGTGTGTATATATATAATTTTAAATAAAGAGTAAGATAGAAAAAATAATTTAAATACAATTTAATAGATACTAATATAGAGTTAATATAGTTTAGAAATAAAAAATAAAAATTAAAAAAAAGTTAAAGAACCCATGGGTCAATCCACGACCCGTGGGTTAGGCCGGACCCGACCTGCCCTTAGGCTAGTCGTGAGTCGGACTAGGTCCAATCCCAAACCCGGGATCAAGAAAATAGGTCCGACCCGACCTTGCCTTGAACCCAATGGGCCAGGTTACGGGCCTAAACTGGCCCAAACCACGTCCACCCCTACTCTCTCTCCCTCCTCTCCCTCCTCTCCCTCTTGTAATCGTGCCCTAAATATAGTGGTAGAAGAAGAGGGAGATGGAAGAACAAGAGGGAGAGGGGAGAGCGAGAAAGAGTCCTAAATCTAGAGGTAGAAGAGGAGGGAGATGGAGAGGGGAGAACAAGAAGGAGGGGGTGGGGGAGCCCTAAGGAGAGGGGAGAACAAGAGGAGGAGGAGGAGGAGGAGGAGGAAGGGGGGGTGGGGGTGGGGGGGCAACAGTAAAAATATGGGTATTAAAGGAATTTTGATAAAAAAGTCAACAGAAAATGATTTTTGGTGGTTGATTAAAATAAAATATACTTTTAAGATGGTTTGTGTATAAATTAAACAATAAATATGGTTCCTGTATTACAGCCCCATTTTAAAGGTGATTTCCATATAAACCCTTATTTTTATTTGCTTATTCTTTTCTTTCTTTCTTGTTTTTGCTTTCTCTTCAACAAGAAAATGTAAAAAAAAACAATAATAATAATTTGGGACATGCTTATGTATCAACTTTTGTGAGATAGTTTTAGATAATACTATTCATTGGTATACAAGTATGAATATGATGTGCACAGTTCACATTTATTTTTAATCTATATATGTATATTTATATACACAGTGATCAAATGTTAACCGCATGATATATTAGTTCATGAAACACTTCATATGGCATTTGCATATTTTTATTTCATATTTATCTTGTATATTATTGTGGAATGGTTGAGTTGTAGTCTCATACCCAGTTCTTAGGTATTTCGGTTTATATAATGTGTTTTTGACCTTTTTTAATTTCACTAGTGCACAACCTTCTTTTCAAGTACTTAAATGCATCTGTGTCAAAATGTGAGCAAATAATGAAGTGCATGTTGAATTTTTTGTTGAAGAAAATACAATTTTGCCTTTGTGTTTAGTCCCACATTGGAAAATAAAATAAACTCTCTCCCCCTTAACCCTATATATTTACACCCCTTATTCATATTCTAACACACATGAAATAAAACTTTCTCCTCTCCTCTGGTTTCAAAGAAATTATTTTTCTCCTCTTAAAATTTTGTTATTTTAACGGGCAATCTTCTTCATCTGAGCTGAAGCTCTGTACTCTCGCCCGAGTACAGAGGTCGGCTATTTCCGGGGGCTTTTACCGCTAGGGGGGAGAGGATTATCTGCGCCAGGGCGATAGGCGGGTCTTCAATCTTCTAGGGTAGTGATTACACGACTGCTCTCGTTAGGCCATATTTAATTATTTATTTTATTCAGATTTATTTTACATGCCATAACTTTTATTTGATATTTTTCCAACAATCTAGAAGATTAATAATATTTTTAGTATTAAATCCGAAATAAAAAAAATTGGAATTTTTTTCTGGTTACTGTTCATCCAAAATTTGTAATTAAGTATTTTTGTTAATTTAATTAATTGCTGTAATTAATTGCTTTAATTACTGTTAATTACTGCATTTATTGCATTCATTTAATTGTTGTTCATTAAGTTGTAATTAATTAATGATAATTATTTTTAATTACAATTAACCAGAGGTCTTCTTTTGTAAGAGTATGTACTCTGGACATTGTCCTCTAGGATTTGCTAATATTGGTTTTTGATATGAACATATATCTAAGATGAAGATATCTTTGTCGTAGTTCAGTATGTTAAAATTAACCATCAGGACACCAGCGTAATAAGCATAGTCATGCTATGCAGTACATCTGTAATAATTGCACTATAATTATGATTTATTTTAAACTATATACTCAAAGTATTATTATGATTTATTGTATCAGTATTGTGTTGGGGAAAAGTTAATTTTCTCTGCATCATCTTTATACACTACAACAGAAAAGCTAATCCGCGAGGAACAAGTTTGTCGTTGAAAGTCAAGATTTCCTCGTCGTAGTGTGTTGGCGAGGAAAAACTTTGGTCACCATTTCCTCGCGGTAGGGTGGTCAAGAAAAGTTTCTGTGAGGAATATCATAATTTCTCGCGAAATCCTTTTTGCGATGAATATATTCATTTCTCGTTGTTACTCTTTAGCCTCGATATTTTTCTTCGCCTAATCTCATACATTTTTTATCGCTAAACTACAGTTTCCTCACCAATGATACGTGAATAATATTTAATTTATATATAATAAAAGTTCTAAAAAAACAATTTTCGTCGTTGTAAGTATCTTTCAGCGAGGAAACTGTTCCTCACCAAAGATAAATATTTAACGAGGAAATTGATTTTCTTCATTATATGTATCTTTTTCCCATGAAAACAGTTCCTCGGTAAAGGGACTCAAAGACAGGAAAATTTAAATTTGTCATTGTACGTTGTACCCCATATTCCTCGCCAAAGAAATTCAATTACAAGGAAATTTACATTTGTCGATATAGGTTATATGGTCTATATCGAGGAATATTACTTTCGTCATTGTAGGTTATATCGCTATAGCGAGGAAATATGTTTTTGACGACGTAAGTTATATACTCTATAATGAGGATATATACTTTTGACGACGTAAATATGAAACCTATTGCGAGGAAACATATTTTCGTCACCTTAAGTTGTATTGTCTATTTCGAGGAAATTTACTCCCATCGACCTAAATATATAGCAAGAAAACTTATAATGAGAAAATTTTATTTTATCAATAATAATACTATTACAATAAAAAAGCTCAAAATATAAATAATTGTCATCAATTGTCACCACAGTACATCAAAACAATTAAAATAAATAAAGCAAACAAGTTTCTACCATAAGTAACAATGCTAGTCTAAAGCAATAACAAATACAACACGATCAAAGAAATATTTCTCCAAGTTTAAGTTCACTAAGAGTACTAAGCTGATGGATGTTGCCTGAAAAAATTAGCCATAAACTCCTTAAACTTTTTGGCTTGCTCCTCCAATCTTTGGATTACCTCGCGCATCGATATTTTGTTGTTGAGTTCCTACAAGTTGTTGGGTCTCTTGAAGATGTTCTTTCAACTCTTTATTCTTTTCAGACATTTCACTCATCGAAGAAGGAGAGAACCTTAATAGTGGTGGTCTAGGGCCAAAACCACAACCCTTAATGTAGCCTGATTTGACTTTGAGAACTTTTGCACATATTTCCTCATCTGTCATTGTTCGAGTTCCATCAGGTTGAGTGGTATCTGCTCTCATCTTTATCATTTGATCCTATAAGTAAAAAAATATGCAACTTCTCAATTACAACCTAATCAACATAATCCTCTTTAGAACAGTAATGTCAATTTCACATATATTCTTAAAATATTATAAAAGCATACATCAATGACACGTTACTTACCCATTTTTCCTTTGCTCCCGAGTCTCATCCTTTTCTTTTTTTGTGTTTACCACTGGCTGATCATTAGCACTTTGTTGTTGAAGACGTGCACTAACTCTAATCCCTGTCATTCGAGTTTGTAATTTAGGTATACCCTTCTAATTTGTAATTGATGAAAATGAAATTCAATTCAACTTCTCTACACCTTTTAGAGGAAAATAATTCAATTCAGCTCAATTCAACTGAATTCAGCTCAATTCAACACCACTTACCAGTAGTAGTTCATTTCGTGGTGACACCAGTACTACTAGAATTCAGTCCATTTGCTACAGAATTTTGGCATGCTTGATTAGAAGTTTGCATACGAGTATGTTTTGTACCTATTAACACACACTTGTTAAATAAGTAAAAACTAACGGTACTTAAATATTGTAGCAGTAAAATGAAGATTGCATATTCTAATCAACCAAGTGAATGAATCATGAATTATAAGAGAAATATGCACTACTTACCAGAAGTAGACCTCTGAACGGTAGGCGCTTTGTTATGGTACATCTTCTCACTATTTATTATCAAACAATTAGAATGGTCAAAATACAAAAGAATGTAACATTCATCTATTTGAATATCAAGATGACTAAACAATACAATAAGTGATTCTATGCAATACATGCAATACACGGATTCTAATCATTATCAAATAGTGGTAGTATTACTTATACAACTAAAAACAAATCAAATAGTGGTAGTATTACTTATACAACTAAAAACAAAACTATAACTTTCTAATAGAGGAAACAAGACCTAGAAATCATACTAAAGTAATTCTAATAGAGGAAACAAGACCTAGAAATCATACTAAAGTAATTAATAAGATGACTAATTTATAATAGCAAGAGTTTCTATCATATGTCAAACTAAAACATCCCTTAGATAATAACCATAATGCCAAATTAGATGGGGTGCAAATTACAAGCTAAACAAACTCCATTTGCAAATTATGAGTGAAATGCATAAAATAAGGCAATATCATATTCCTGTACAAGCTAAACAAACTCCATTTGCAAATTATGAGTGAAATGCATAAAATAAGGCAATATCATATTCCTGATTCCAAAGAAAATGAGAGTTTAGATAATTATGAGTGAAATGCATAAAATAAGGCAATATCATATTCCTGATTCCAAAGAAAATGAGAGTTTAGACATTCAAGGGGGGAAATGAGAGTTTAGATATTCTAAACAAACTCCATTTGCAAACTATGATTTCAAAGTTTAAGAGAAAATACAAGTGAAACAGAAGTATGAATGATGGTTCAATCCCATTAAAAACCATCTTTCAGTGTATATTCAATTGAGGAACTACTCACCTGAATACAAGTAAAAGGAGCTACTGAAAATAACCCTTTAAACTACAAAAATGAGAAATACTTTTTTTAATGCTCAGAAATTTGAAATATTTAAGCCACTACATCATCATCACCAGCCTTTATCAATGAGCCACAGCCAGTCAAGTACAACTCCTGAGAATATACCAGCAAGAAGAAAAGTGACAAGCAGATTTCCAAGTGCATTCTGCTCAGGTCCCTGTACAACAAAAAACCAGAACTTCTCTTCATAGTCACAATCAATAAACATAGTTTCAACTTTCAACTAACTATTGATATGCATTATTAGAATTTAGTTCACTGACCTTGTAACCTGTGGGTGCTTCAGTCATAACACAGACTGTAAGGTGACCATTTAAGAAAGATGTCAACAGTATCATCCAACCTTGGTCTCCATATTTTGCAGTAAGGTAGAATGCCGGAATTAGTGAGAAACGAGAAAGAATTACAGCCATCAGGCCTTTCCTTGATTTTATCCTTAAGACATTCTATTAGAGGTATATATCTTCCAATGAGATCTCATACGTTGCACATAGCAATCAAGACAAGTGCATACCTAATGACAGAGAAAACCACTTGCAATTGTACAAAACAAAAAATTGTACTGTTATGTTGTTATTATAGGAAATAGGTGAATATGATGCTCCAATGCAAACACCTGACCAAGACTAGCCGCAGCTATAGGGCGATCTTCAAATTGTTTGAACAATACATCTATAGGCTCACCCAACTCGTTTTGTATGAAAGTTCTTATTTTTTCAGGTGAAAATGCAGGTACCCTATCCTGCGACATATTGCCAAATTGCACAAAATGTGAATATACAACTATTGCACTAAAGAACTAGCAAGAAAGCTGCTGATTCAACATAAAAGCAACAAAAAGAGACAAATTGAAGTGGAAAATATGTTCATGTAAACACATGCACACAAAAAATTGCTGCTGAGAAAGAGATGATATCAAAATTGAACAAGCACCTATCTACATCTACAGGTAAGTTTGTTACCTCAATCAACGGATTCACAATCCCCAACTTCGGCTGTAATAAACCCGATCCATTAATAATCGACCCGCCAAATAACAGTCCATGCTCCACCCTGTTTTCGGATCCTTATTGGATCCAATACTCCCGTTGCTCCACCACGCCTCCATCTTCTCCAGCGATCCACAAAGGATTAGGTTCCCTCGATCATCAATCACCTCGAAATCGACGGGGCCAGTGAGCTTGACGCTGTCGGTGCTGACGTTGGTCACTTCCAACGTCTCGCAGTCGATCCGATCACGACGGAGGAGGATAGAGGTTTAATCGGAGGAAGGGATCTTTGAGCCGTTGATCTCGAGGCAGACTCCAATTGGACGGCGGAGATGAGTTAGGGTTAGGGATGAAGGAACGGTGTCGATCGAGCGCGGGGAGATACGGACGTAGAAGAGCCGGATCTCGAAGAAGGCGGAGCGGAGTTCATCGTTGCCGTCGCCGCCGAACTATCTCAGATAAGAAGAGCCGGATCTCGAAGAAGGCGGAGCGGAGTTCATCGTTGCCGTCGCCGCCGAACTATCTCAGATCATTGGATTCAGGTTCTAGGGTTTGAGAATTTGGGGTTTGAGATGAAGAAGAGCATTGTTGACGAGCCTTTTGAAAATTTGGGGGAAACGTTTTAGAAGCGGGGTTTGGAAAATTTGCGAACCCGCCCAAACGAAAATAGAACAGGGATGTTATCTTAGACGGAATTGACGGTGTTTTGGAGACGAGCCTTTTGGCACCTAAGGGCCCGTTTCGATAATGAAAGTAATCAAGTATTAGAATTAAGAAGTAGGTTATAAAGTAACTTTCAAAGCTATGAAGTAGGAAGTAGTGGAAATCGCATTTTTTGTTTGTTTCATATATTTTTAGAAGTAATAGAAGTAGAACTTCTTTCTCTTCATTTATTTTTTTTGTTTGGATAACATTTGGAAATATTACTAGGAAGTAATTTTATCAATGAAAAGTTGTTTGAAGTAACTAATAAAAGAAATATTAATAAAAAAAATTATTTATGTCCTAATTAATATGCATTTCAACTACTTCCGAGCTACTTCTGAGTATTGAGGATTGGAAAAATATTTTGGAAGTAAGGATGACACGTAGGCGCCACATAAGCATTTAGGAAAGTATTGGAAGTAAGTTTTTCAGAAAACCAAACACACTTTTTTGCTTGGAAGTAGCAGAAGTAGCTTTTACTTCTTTTACTTCAGCTACTTCACAATTACTTCGGTGCAAACAAACAAACCCTAAATTGAGATCATTTACTAAGGAGGGGGGCCCACAAGGATGAGTGGCAAAATGAAAGGCCATGATGAAAATAAAAGGTCAGGATCTCATTATTAGGATATATTAGGAAGTTTTCGTTAGTAGAGGATCCCAGTCCTTGGCACCTAGCATCCTTGACGGAATACATCGTCTAGGATGTTCCATCTAGGGTGTTGAGATTTCTACTAGCATGGCCCATGATTGTTGACTTATATATGGACATTTGTTAGTCCATTGATATTAGAGGCCCGTTCTTTTCTTTGAGTAACCCCGCCTATTTTTTACCCAAATTCCCACCAAAATATTCGCCAACGAATAATGAGGATATTATTATTTCCTCATTGATTGGTTTTTTTAACAAAGAAATGATTTCTCGTAAAACAAAATCTTTTAGTGAGGAAGCCTTAAATTTATCGTCATTGAATTTGGCGGGTTTTGCATATTTTTTCGCCAAACTAATAATGAGAAAACTATTATCTCCTCGCTAATTGATTCTTTTAACGAGGAAAGGATTGCTCGTAAAACAAAAAAATTTAGTGAGGAAACCTTCAATATGTCATCAATGAATTTGGTGGGTGTTGCACATTTTTCTGCCAAATTAATAATGAGGAAACTATAATTTCATCGCTAATAGGTTCTTTTTTACGACAAACGGTTCCTTGTAAAACAAAAACTTTTAGCGATGAAGCCTTAAATTTGTTGTTATTAAAATTGGCGGGTTTTGTACATTTTTTTGCCAAACTAATAATGAGGAAACTATTATTTCCTCGCTAATTGGTTTTTTTAACGAGGAAACAGTTCCTCGTAAAACAAAAAATTTAGCGAGGAAACCTTTAATTTATCGTCAATAAATATGACGGGCGTTGTAAATTTTTCTGCCAAATTAATAGTGAGGAAACTATAATTTCCTCGCTAATAGGTTCTTTTTAACGGGGAAATGGTTCCTCGTAAAAGCAAAAACTTTTAGCGAGGAAACCTTAAATTTGTCACCATTGAAATTGGCGGGTTTTTTTCCCCCGCCAAACTAATAATGAGGAAACTATTATTTCCTCACTAATTGATTTTTTTGATGAGGAAATGGTTCCTCGCAGATTATGGATCTTCAGCGAGGAAATCATACTTTGTCGCTGTTACATTTGGCGGGTTTTCCTCTATTTTCCGCCAAAAGAACATCGATGAAATGATTATTTCCTCGTTAAATGTGCATTTCGCGATAAAAAAGTTCATCGCCAAAATCTCATATTTCCTCACCAATAAAATAACTAGTTAGTAGACCAAATCATGATCATCTTTAGTGAGGAACTAAAATTTTCATCGTAGAAGGTGGTCTACTGTGAGGAAAATATATTCCTCGTAGAAGACCTACTGATATTTACCGAGGAAACAATATTTTCCTCGTCGAAACTGATATTTGTTGAGGAAAATTAATTTCTCGCAAAAAATTTGGTCGCTAAAAGACCTGTCTGTTGTAGTGATAGCCTTGTATAAGATTCTAAATGTAGACCCTTATATGGTTGTTTTGTTAAACAAGATTATTTCAACACTCTTGCAGCAAGTTTGAAGCGGATTAATCATCACAAGCTTTTCTGTAATTGAAGTTTTAAGCTACGATATATGGGATTTTCTTTGAGTAAACCACATATATGTTGATCTAACTATTGTTCTTGTCTTCACCTGACCTATCCAATCTGTTGCTTGGTGAATGTAAGGGTTTCCTCGTTCTAAATCTAATTTGGTTGCCTATGACCCAATGTTTGTAACTATACGAGGTTAAATTATCATTTGTCTGTAGCTCACAGCAAGTCTGCATTTAACAAATCTTTAGCCCTTTGACTTGTAGAATTATGCAGAACAAATGTCTCCACGAGAGAATTTGATTGGTATCCAACGACATGATGTATTGCTCTATAATTAGTTCACGAGCAACTTCACTGACATAGCATCCAGTTATCTCATGTTTGATGAGATTCGTATGGATTTGATTATTGTTGGTGTATTTTATTGTTTGTCCAGCAGAACCTCTCTAAGTTACTGGTTTTTGTTTAAAAAAAATTATTGCTAGTTTGTAAGCTATCAACTTTCAAAAAGAGATGATTGATTAATTATATATATATATATTATATATATATATATATATATATATATATATTATATATATATATATATATATATATATATATATATATATTAGAGAGAGATGAAGAGAGAGAGAGAGAGATTGATGGGTATCTTTGTCATAGGAGGCGATTTTCCCTTGACGTCTCTAAATCACATGAATGGAGCGACATTACTGGCATGATCCGCTGCGTTGAACTTGATCTACATATTCTAAACCCCAACACACCAAGTTTGGGGTGAATCCCGTGTCGTTTGACCCTCCATCCGAGCCATGTGAAAAGTTTCTATTAATTCAAAACCGTTAAAATTGATACGATGTGGATGAATGGTCAAACGACGACGGGTTCACCCCAAACTTGGTTGTTAGGGTTTTATAGAATATGTAGATCAAGTTTAACGAGCGAATCATCCACAATGTTCGCTCAATCATGTGATTTTAGAGGCGTCAAGGAGGAATCCCCTCCTATGACAAGGATACCCATTAATCTCATAATATATAATATATATATATATATATATAATATATATATATTATATATATATATATATAATATATATATATATATATTATATATATATTAATATATATATATATATATATATGAACGAACCAAAATCAAGAGTTGAAATTTTTTTTGGTGAATTATATTTAAATCTTCAAATGTAAAGCTTACCTCTTTTATTGCATTATGATGGATATTCATATGTCATATTAGATCACTCGCATTTCTTACATTATAAGGATTTATGCAAGAATGTAAATTTAAAAATATTTAAATATATTTAAAATGTCAAAATGATATGTTTAAGAGGTGGTACTAGAAAATGTCCACGTAAATTTGGAAGGTCTCTTTTGTAGACAACCAATTTAAATTTGGAAGGTCTCTTTTGTAGACAACTAATTAAATTTGGAAGGTTTTTTTTGTAGGCAACCAATTTGCAACCTCTTATAATAGGAAAATTTAAAAAAAATTATGCATATATACTTTAATATACGAAATCCTATTATAAGGTTCTCTTCAATGCTTTGCATGTAACTTTTAGTAATGTTATTCATATATGTGCATATACATGCATGTGAAGATATAACTAAAGTATTTTAGTTCCACATTATGGGCCAAATTCTAATCTGCACAAACCCTATGTAGTTACATCTCCAGACATAGACCGTAACCTTTATGCTTACATGTTACATTCAAAACTACTGTTTAGTTTTTCTTGTTGCTAAATTGAT